GTTTGCCGAGGCTGAATCTGAAGCGCACAGGAGTTTTTAGGTTGACACCGTCGATCTTGCTTTGGGTGTTGATACACTTTGTGCATCTTCGGTAGTTCTTTTGACGAAAACATTACCGTGGAAGGTTCAGACCGAGAAATAAGCTGAAACAGTACCGTTATTAAAAAGAGGAAGGATAAAAAGCGACAGCCTTGCCTGACACCACTTAATGTTTCCGGCCGAAATTCACACGCCCACAAGGTGGGTCAACAATTCATGAGGGGCGCTTCTCCATACAATCAAAGTCAGCTCTCAGTTAAAGGGAGGAAAATGAACGGGTAATAAACCTTGAGAGAATAGACAGATCTTAAGTGAGAGCGAAAACTGAGGAAACTAGCCTCAAAGAAAAAAAGCGACGCTGCAACAAGGGCGTAAATCACGCCACTCATTAGTAGTGAGTGAAGAGGAGAAAAATAACCACAATTAACCGTTGATTCACAGAAATCAATGGTGGAGCTGCATTCCGTTCGCAGAAGCGTCGTGTTAAACAATGGGCCAAGCATTTCGAAGAGTAGTTAGCTGGACCCAGTGAGCTCACCTGAGAGGACTAATTGAACCCGAGTTGGAGCTGGGTACCGGCACGCCGTCGTCAACTGGAGTTCAGCGTGCAATCCCATTGTTCCAGCGCAACAAAGCTCCTCGTCCATGTGGTTTTGCCCATTTTACTTCTTACAGAAGGTGACGAGTCCGTCGTGCCCAATTTGACATCTTGACCTCAAGCTCTACAATGCAAATGGGATGGAGCGCTCCAACGAATAGAATGCAAGAGCCACATACGAAAACCACGGGCTACGATCTTAGTGGCTATATCTTCCGCGGTGTTCTCTGGTACTGTCCTACACTGGTTGAGTCGTCGTCTGGAGAGCCATATCTGTGAGAACCAAACTGGGTTTCATCCAGCCTGCAGCCGCCACTCTTTCCGACAGTCAGCATTCATAGTATTTCTCGATCTCAGATCTGCTTTCGACTCCTTTGGTTGTCCGGAACTGTGGTATTGTGTTGTGATGAATGTTCTCCACCTTAAATTCCTGTCTCTTGTGAAAGTTTCATGTGCCTCTTACCGTGGACAGATTTCCGAATTCAGGATATTCAGTGGTGCCAGGCAAACGCGTCCGCTGCACAGTTTGGTATGCACTTCGCACCTCTACAGTGTGAAATAATGCTGCAAGATTGGGTTGGATCATGCCCAAAGTCCATGATTGCAGGTCAGCTGCTCGGTGTTGTTACTGATCTTTTCTATCGGAATGACGAAAGATGCAATCAGAAAGCTCATGGCAGCCTTTGCCAACTTCCTACATTTGTGGTGCTGACGTGGCACCATATTGACCGTCAAGGTAACACTGCAATGCCGAGTTGCGTTTTTCCCTACTTTGTGAATCAGAGCTATGGGTGCTGAGTGCGGATGACCTTTGAAGACTTTCCGTATTTAACTGTTGGTGTCCCCGAAGCAACGCTCGGGCCTGTTGGTCGGGTCAACAATGCTGATGTTTTCGGGAAAGTTCGCTATCCGTGGACACAGTTGGTCACACCCCACAGGTTGCACTGTTTATACCATGTACTTCGTATGCCAGAGAACCGTTTGACTCAGAACTCTCTTCGCTCACCATTTTATCGGATAGAGACAACTTAGGGACAGTCACTCTATGAATCGACAATGAACCATAAAAGTCCTTACTGGTCGACTCAGTCGTGTTGGTAAGTGCCGTCCTCTCGGATGGTGATCACGGGATGAGACAATCCAGTGGTTGGTGACCCTGAGAGATATGTGTTACGAATAGAATATCGATTCTGATTGAGCGCGAGAACAAGAATCGATGGCGTAGGATGAATATCGCTTTACTTGTCTAAGAATAGACGTACATAAGCTGAAAACGAAGGCGAAAGCATGGTTAATACAAGTGATAATGTGAGCACAAAGAATATTCATGACAATATGGCTGTGTCATACAGCTAAATGCTGTCTTGTGTCGCTGTTACCAATAGAATATCGATTCTGATTGAGCGCGAGAACAAGAATGAGTGGCGTAGGATGAATAGCGCTTTACTTGTCTAAGAATAGACGTACATAAGCTGAAAATGAAGGCGAAAGCATGGTTAATACAAAACGATAATGTGAGCACAAAGAATATTCATGACATTCACCCTGGCCGTTGGATTGTGTGTAGAGGGATAAATTGGGTACAGGTATTGGATGAATGATTGTAAAAATCTAATGAGTAATAATGAGTGTGGTTAGGCTTCTCGATTTCTTAGAATGTAGGGCCATGTACGCTGCTGGAGCCTGGCTAAATCAGGGGTTCTAGGGTCATATGTATCTGGGGATGCAGGTGCATTGCCCGGGCACGGGAGTGAGACTGAAGTGTGAAAATAGAATGTTCATGACAGTCGCCTTCAATTCCTAGCTCCCACTGCATGTCCTACCCGACAAACAGAAACATTAGCTTTCAATGACTTGAATAAACAAGTGCCTCCAACACCTAGCCCTCATGTTGTTATTCTCGTTATCCTCATTGAATGAAGCTGTAGAAACTGGAACCACTACACTCCGATGAATCGTTTGAGCTGAAAAATGAATATACTGGACCATACACTGACTTCCTCCGCCTACTGGGGTCAGAAAAATGCGCCACAATGGACCCCCTAAATTAGTGGTGCTTACCTGTCCCACAATCATGAGGTAAATACTCTTGTGAAGTGTAAAAACGAACTCACTGCAATATACCTTGGACTCCCAAGGAATAGGTTAACGGAAATACAAGTACGTGCATTTTCGTACAACACTTAAATGTTGGAGGAAGACACCATTCCCTCAACATATTTCATCAGTCTTACTCAACAGAAGCATAGAGAACCATTGTTTGCTAGTCGATAACTAATACGGTCGACAAGTGACAGCGTGCTCACCCACGGCAGTGAAGTATCGGTGTTGAACACTGATTGCTATCGACGTTTGAGCTGAAAAATGAATATACTGGACCATACACTGACTTCCTCCGCCTACTGGGGTCAGAAAAATGCGCCACAATGGACCCCCTAAATTAGTGGTGCTTACCTGTCCCACAATCATGAGGTAAATACTCTTGTGAAGTGTAAAAACGAACTCACTGCAATATACCTTGGACTCCCAAGGAATAGGTTAACGGAAATACAAGTACGTGCATTTTCGTACAACACTTAAATGTTGGAGGAAGACACCATTCCCTCAACATATTTCATCAGTCTTACTCAACAGAAGCATAGAGAACCATTGTTTGCTAGTCGATAACTAATACGGTCGACAAGTGACAGCGTGCTCACCCACGGCAGTGAAGCATCGGTGTTGAACACTGATGTCATGCTATCGACGATGACGGTGATGAGCGTGCTCACCACAGGATTAGTTCACTCTAGGATTTACATCGATGTACATGAAAACTCACATGAATCCCAAACAAGGGAGCTAACTGGGCCCACAGTGCTCATTTTGAAAATGGTTGTATCATGCCCTACCCACCTGCGGACTATTTGGTAACAAGGATTTAAGGAAAGACAACTTCATTTGGTGGACAGGGGTTGGATACCTGAGCCCCCCCCCCCGCGACGTCCCAGCCCAATCCAGTCATGAGTACTCAACAGAAGCATAGAGAACCATTGTTTGCTAGTCGATAACTAATACGGTCGACAAGTGACAGCGTGCTCACCCACGGCAGTGAAGCATCGGTGTTGAACACTGATGTCATGCTATCGACGATGACGGTGATGAGCGTGCTCACCACAGGATTAGTTCACTCTAGGATTTACATCGATGTACATGAAAACTCACATGAATCCCAAACAAGGGAGCTAACTGGGCCCACAGTGCTCATTTTGAAAATGGTTGTATCATGCCCTACCCACCTGCGGACTATTTGGTAACAAGGATTTAAGGAAAGACAACTTCATTTGGTGGACAGGGGTTGGATACCTGAGCCCCCCCCCCGCGACGTCCCAGCCCAACTGCAGTCATGAGTTGCACATCTACATTTAGTCTCATACCACATCTGTCGTCGCCTTATCATCAGCCGGGTCGCCTTGCTGCACACAGCAGGCGAAAACAGGCTACTGCTGACGCCTCTGTTCGCTTTCACGTATTTGTTCTCTCCCCACCCCACATTCTTGGGTTTGACCTCCTCTCACCGCCAATTGCCATTATCACTATCTATGGTTGACTCAATCATTACGGCCTCAGATACTTCGAAATCACCCTTCAAACCTCGATGATCAGTTCATCTTGCAGCCTTTAGCATTCGCTCTCTAAAACAAGCCGGAAGACAGGCTGCTACTGCATATATGCTTCGCTTCTTTTCTTTATATTCTCTCTATGATCAACCCCGCCGATTACCTCTTACGCTCGCTTGGTTCGATGATTTGTTTCATGTTTGCGTCTTGTTATCAATCACTTTCTAAACTGATGGGTTGGCTCTGTCGCACCAACTACGCCGGTTTGGGCATCTGCTTTGTGTGCTTAGCAATCGATCCCTACACCGTGTGCTGACTACCGACCACAAGTTTGACAACGCATGACCTCGAGACGGCGCATGAAAAATGCAAAAAAGGGCAATGGCTACTCTGGTCTGCAAATTTGGGTTACCAAAGACCCAGCTTATCAGTGTTTGGAGGCACTCACCAACATGGTGATTTCGCGCAAACAGAAGTAGTTTTCCGTCTCTCGTTTTTTGATCCATATGTTCTTTTTTATTCTTACTCTGTTTTTATCGTTTTTCAGCTTTAAGTTTCAAAGCTGTGTCCAATATTCTAACGACAAGTCGCTGCACTTCACACGGGAGACGTGATGGTATTTGTGTAGCACCAATGAGCTTCGCTCGTTGCTGGTGACCAGTGTTGTTGTTAGCGTTTTCCGGTGACACTTTCAAATCACAGCATAGCATACGAGACTAACACATTTTAAATTTCTTCATTCTTGACTAGCCGACCCGTGATATATGGAACTATTATTAGAATCCGAATATGGTCCCGACGGTAAAACCGAGGAGAATATGTTCATAAAGCAGTTGCCCCTCCGACGTAAATCAACACGCAGAAGTCTTGTTTTTGTTGCGGACCACGTTTCCAGTCCAAAGTCCTCTCCATCTGCCAATCTTCCTTGTTTTCGAGACACGGTTGAGCCTCATGAACAGTGTGGAAGTCAGCCGCATCGTGCTGAGGTGCCTGCAGTCAGTACTCCCGTGAAGCCACAAACCGGACAGTTTGATGGATCCTCAGAAAGCGCTGATCTCATGGAACGGTACGAGCGCGAAATCGCCTCATGGCACCTACTCCTTGAATCCTCTGTCTCCAAAACTCCGAATGAACCGATAGAACTACCGCCTTGGGAGTGGATAAAAAGTGATAGAGTTTTATCAGATTATCAGGAGCTTCTGCAACCCATGTTTGAAACTAATTTGACCGGCCTTGGTTTGGGTGAAATATCCGAACTCCAGTCACGTATTTTATTTGGCTTGATGCATCTTCGTGAATTACTGGACACACAAGACAGGTTCTTATTAAGTCTGCGCCGATCAATGCAGGCCATTTGCACACATGAACTCGGATTAAATAAATCAAGAGACATGCACGGCTCCACAGTGGGGGCCTTTCTTGCCTTACCACCCTGAAACTCAATTTGTATGTTTTGTCAGTTGTTCAAGCATTTATTGTTATCCCTATTGTTGCTTTTGTATAAATTCAGAAACGAGACACTTTTTGGAATATGTTCAATTCGTCTTGTTCAGTTAGGAGAAGGAAGCAATCTGTGCGTTCATTTACCTTTCGAATGTAAACTGTTTAGAAGAATTATATTTCAAAAATCATATGAGCCTTTTGCCTGAGTTGTCACCCGAGGACTGTGTCGGTACCAGATCAGGTGATATTGGACGTGTGACTGAAGGCTGGCTAAAGCGGTCCCAACCCCACTGCTGCTCAACACACTAGAGTCGTGCAGTGTTCAGCTCCTTTCTGAAGTGTGTCAACTTGCTTTTGTTGGATTTCCACGGTTTAGTTTGACTATAGAGTTATCGATGTGCAAACACCAGTGGACAGGCACACAGGCTTCTTGGTAGCCATGATTCGGTTTACACATAATGCTTTATCAGTGAACACCGATTATAAAAACCTGCCCATGGCGAATTTCGATGTTCTACGTCAATTCCTTCCGATTTCATACTGCCCCTTTCTCTATCTTCATACTAATAATCTTATTGGGTATATTCAATAACACATGCCCAATGTGGTAATGGTTGGCCTGATGGCACTCCAATAGCCATATGGTCATCTTACGTCTGTGGATATCCGAAGATGCGTATGTGTTTGAGCTAGTTGAAACACTTTTCACAGTGAATCAAGACAGTTCCTATAATGAACACGTGGATTAGAGAGACGTAGGGGGTGTCTATCCGTGGCGTTCAGAGCTGTTCTCTTGAATTCCATGGTACGACCGGCTAAGCGCTTCACTTGTCACTAATCTGAATTAGTGCCAGAAGGTTTGTACCAGAAGACAACAGGTACAATTGAGGGAGGGGGCACAAATCTTCCGAACACCAACTAGTGAAGAGTCCAAGAAAGAATCAAGAGGCTGGTAGACAGTGAAAGCTCAGGAAATGTCGAAGGCTTTTACGACTTGGAACGTCCGTATTGTTTCTAATTTAATTTGATCAAGCAGCCAAAGGAAGACAGCAGAACAGATTGCGAAGAAGTGTTCAGTAACTCAGGCAAGAGTGAGCACTTTGAAGAACAGTTTATCTGGTTTCCTGCGTACGGCAATGGAACACAAACCATATGTGCCGATCAGCAGAAATAGATTACGAATTATCCGTTTTGAAGGATGAACCGAGCACCGGGTTTGGGTGGTTTGTAAACATCTGCAAGAAAAGCAATCAGGTTCATGTAAGCAACCTTTATTCCTAACGGAATAAAGAGAAAGTAGCCACAGAACGCGGCACTTCAGCAGTTACGTAATATTTAAAGAGGGTATACCAACATTTTGTGAACTATCATGACACCAACCTGGTGCCTGTAACATTCATGATGCCCTCTACTCTAAAGCTCCGCAGCTCTACTGAACACAGACAGACTTGGGGAAACCAAGACGGTGTAAAGGTACCTTATTTACTCTTCGACAGACCATGGAACGGTGATATTGATTCATCTGATTTGAAAACTGGTGGTTGGTGCAGAATTATTGCCTGGAGATTCTTGACCCTCCTTCCGGCGCTGTAGGTCACCTCATGAATGCTCCTACGTCTGTATGGTAAGCTTCCTCTGAGTTCATTACATCTAGTGGTGTTAGGTAAAGCTTTTCTATTATCCATTCCCACCTTTGTCTTCTGGTTGAGCATAGAAGAGTTGCTCGCATCCACTAAGCTTTTTACGATCGAAATGCTCCCAGGGTATTCCCAGAGAGATACCGACTACGGAGACGACATAGCTGTTCTTGGATCCGACGTCCTTTAACTGAAAACAATGTTACGTGTCTTAAATAACTTTGCCTCTTGATTTGGTACCTTGTTCAACGGTTGGGTGGATCCAAATCTGATTGAGGTGGTGGATAAATTTAATTGCCTGGGCAGCTGTGTCATTCTAGATAGAATAGGGGTGAGATGGACCAAGTGGTTAGAGCGCGAATTTACTGGCAGGAAAGTCCGTCGTTCGAACCCGACCTCTGCCTCTCGACTTACCCTGTTTAGGCTTGGGCAACCTGGCAGTATCCCAGCCCTCGTGCCACTTTCGTGTGGCATGGCAGCTAGGTGCCGAAAGGTTGCTATAGCTGGACGCTTTTATTACCATCCTTCCAGGGCAAGCGAGAATGAACTTTATCAAACTTCAATATTTATACTGCATATATGGCACCAGCTTATCTGTCAAGAATACAATGATGCCAAGCTCCCCATGTTTTTAATCGGGCCAGAAAACTGGCCACTGCTAGCTGAGGACGTTAAAAGAACCATTGCTTCACTGATGATCTCCTCCGAGCATTGTTTGAGTCTAGTTAGGACGTCGGATCAGTGGTACTGCATTATGCTGGATAGTTTTCTGAAGGAGTAGCTCACACATGATGACACTCCATAGGTTGCGCCAGCCTAGTTGCATGTCTTGTACCCAGTCGACTGATTTCCTCAAGATAGCAAGATAGATGGAAACGAGTCAGATTTTCAGTGAGGTATCACAGCCATTACCAACAGATACAACTGTGCCCGCTATCTTCCTGCAATATGACTTTGAGAAGGGACACATCAACGATGAGATACACTGGCGGACAACCGCCGCGTGTTGGTCGAATTCATTGCCTTCAGTGCAAAGCTTGCACTCTCTATCTTCGAAAAGTCTACTGCCATCACTAAAACCATCCGCCAACGATAGCAACTACCTCCCTCATTGTGTAGCTATCCACTCCCACTTCCCAGATGATCGGCGGACAAAACTGGCAGCTAGACCCGCTTTCCATGCACACGGTCCACAGCCATTGGCGGGGATGAGAAAAGAAAAGGACGATGACAAGGGTGGAAATATTTCCGGAATATAACCACGTATAGGAGGAAATCGCCTGATAGGTTCATAGAAATCGAATCGCTCAACTTGCTGAAGAGTAAGGTGATGGATTTAATCCATGCACACTGCCAGTTATGTGGTTGGGCCATGCCTCTGTCACCAACCATCCATGTATCTTAGCTCTAGAGAGGCGGCACCTGTCAGAGGACTGAATCCACTGGTCCATACTCTTGGCTTTCGTTTCCAAGTCAGAATGGCTACCTATAGGTCGTTTTACACTCTTTTGGCTAGATAAAATGTCTTTTGAAGGTAGACGTTTGCAAGACCTGCGAACTATGTGTTCCAACCGGTGTAATTCGCTCATATCTATCTTGGTTAAACTGTTTCTTCCAAAAGCTACCCCATTTAATTTTCCACTGCGAACCAGTTGTTCCCAGTAGGCCCAAACAATGCGTTGTAGATCCCCGTGGCCAAATACTGGCCGCCTTTTCCATTTCGTGCGTTTTCACGGTCCTGATCCATATCTGCGTTGTAAGTCCAACCCTTGACCGACAAGGTGATAGGACGGTGCCATAGATGTTGGAGATTGACAAAGACCGCCCCGGCCCTCCCGACTTTTTCCTGTTCACGAGCACTTATGCTACTGTTCATGTAAGTGACTATTTACAATGTCGATCAGCTCAGCTCTAAGAATGTGGTTTGGGTATGATGTCAATCCGTCTTGTGATAGCTCAACAATCGTGCTACCTTATGTATTAGATTGCTAAAGGGTTGTCGAGAGATGTGACTCAATAAATGCAAAAGTCTGGGCCTCGTGTCTTCTGGCAAGAACGCCCCCTGGAGGGGCAGATCAAAGCGATTTCAGCAGCATATCAGTTACAAAGGCTTGGGTAGCCTGGCTCTCTCCAACCCTCGTGCCTCATTCCGTTGGCATGGCAGCTACGCACCGAATGGGTGCTATAGATAGGCGGTTTTAAATACGAAAGCGTCAAAAAGACTTGAAGTTGCACTCAAAGGCCAAGGAAAGCCCAAGCCTAAGGTGTGTAGATCGTGTGTGACAGACTTGTGCAATTGTCTGCTGAACGAATTAGCTTGTGAGCGTTTCAGTAATAGCTAGTAGCCCGAATGTTCTGATTGCATCAACTATCTTTGTTGTTGTTTGTTTCAACTGAGTGCCATGTGGTAATTAGGTGTTTATCACGGAAACCGGTTCACGGTCTGTAACGGGACTGTTTTTCAGCCATGGCCTTTCTGAGATTTCGAGATATGTAACTGTCCCTTGGGATGAGCTCCGATTTGTCTCACCTATGTATGTTACCACATGTGCTACTAGACTAGTAAGCTGTGCAAAATTAAAACAAATTACGAGGCCCAGCGAGGACTGCCTGTGTGAGTGCAATAATTCCCGAGCGGGCAGTTGGGTAAGTTTTGTCGCCGCAAAAGTAGCTCAGCAGTTAAAGCTCAAAGCATGATAATGATTGATGCCTTTCTAAGATATATTGTGTTTTGCACTGAGGAGGTTGGAATGAACGACCTAGTGGTTGCTTGGCTCCAAAAACACACCACTTTATAAGGACGCTTCTCACTAACGTCGTTGTGTTAGGCGGATGCCTTATAATAAGTTCTAAATTTCATCATTTTTTTACCTTGCAGTGCCGATGCGGCCTTCGTTGAAATGTGCTGTGGTGTTCAAAGTATGCATGCATGATATTGTATCTACCTAACATTCATTACGACTAAATTATCGCAGTGCTGGGAATGAGAGAATACGAGCGCCAAAAGACAGCGCGGAACCCGTTGATTCTGTTTTGTCTTTGAAAAGTTTTGTGAGATGATTTTATCGTTGTGATACGTTCCTTTGATCGTTCTTGTGATACAGCATTAGCAGAGACGGTGCATATGCGTGCACTATTTTTTCGAATTTTAAGCCTGGAAAACAAACTATGCCTCTTGAAGGCTGCTGACAATTCTTCGGCAGCCCATGACTGGCTTCGCTCTTCTCGGGACTTATCGGTTAGGTACGGTCCCCGAGTTTCCTTTAACGTTATGCTCTACTTGAACCCAAAGTTCGGAACTACACTTATTTGCACACCAATTTGTTTTTTTTTTCAATTACGGGAGGCCCACA